TAAGAAAGGATGACAAACATAATTTAGGCAGCTCATTGTTTATTGTCTCGAAATTATGTACACAGATCCGGCGGCTCACCTCGACGTTTTTATATCTTACGTTTGGTATCGCCGTTAGGCCTTCCATCAGACGGCTAGCTCATCTCCCGCGCCTGGCATGCCAGACGATCCAAACTTTTGCTCACTTATAGCATGTAGATTCAAAAATCCTATCGTTAGTTCGTTAGTTAAAACATCTGAAGTTCCAGAACAAAACAAGATGCAGTATCTCATAAATTGCATTAGATGTATTTAGGTACACATGCATGATATCGAAGTAGCTACGTACTGCTCGTTCTAGATGACTGTCCGTATGTTTATCTCATTGTTTGTGTGTGATGACAAACCCAGCGATTGTGTCTTGAGCATAACACTCCCAAAGCATCGACAGCATCAGCTACAGTGCATTGGCTGCTCTTCTCTTTATCGAAAAAAAAAATCACTTATTTATCTATCTAGTGCTCTTTTTGTAACTTCCTATAGTGTGACCAACACTGCGCACGACAGGAAGCCTGAGAGAAGAAACACGTTTGTCCTCTGGCTTCGCAGATGCTCTGACTCTCGAGATGTAATACCTTGCTGCCGACTCGCACGCGCACCGTACAGCAAGGTAAGAAAGGAAACCAAGCAGTAACCAACAACGAATGACGGTATTCGTCTATGCCTCCCACCCTCTCTTTCCCCTCGCAAGGAGATGACAACAACAATGATACAATGGACAGTGAAGTTCTGCATTGACCGCGTCCTTATATCAATCCATCCATCCAGCCTATGTGATACCAACAATGACCATCGCACATTCATCGGCGTACTTCTCTGCCAGATTTGCTTTACCTTCAGTGCTGTCGGCGTCCGGCAATGCTGGCCATCCTGTTCGTCCAATTGCGCGCTACATGCTACATATAAGAACCCGAGGGCTTATGGGGCTACCGGTGATTTTCTCTCTACTGCCGCCACCGTCGCTGCTGGAAACAGAGACACGAGCTACGAGCTAAGAACAAGAAGAGTCCGAGGTAGTCTTGGTCCTCAAGTTCAGTACACCGCAAGACGCTGTACGTGATCTTTTTTCCTTTCTCCTCGCTTTTTCGCTCCGGTTGCTTTGACTTCTGTTGTTGGTGGTGCTGTTGCTATTATTGATGTTGTTGTCGGTGTCTATTTCTGCTGTGTTAAGCGGCCCGTAGCAGTTATGTGCGCACCGCTCACCCGTTTTTCGGTTTTTTTTGGTTCGCTCACGCTCATTCGCGTCGTTCTCGCTGTCATCTATGTAGAGGAAGCAACCAGCGGATGTCACAACTGTATGCAGCAGGAGCAAAAAAAGCGAAAATCTCCAAGCAAAAAGCAATATCACGATGATGGTACTAGTACTTCACTCTGCTTAGCACCAGACTGCACCGCATGAACAGCGCATATATACGCTATGCGAGTGCAGTGTAGCGTGTATCGCCTCCGGCGCGCCCGCTCCAAAAGCCTAACAAGCTGCTTGCCTAACTCTTGTCATTCCTCGTCGTCGTCATCGTAGTTGAGGTCCTCCTCCTTTTCCTACTTATCGTCCCCTTGACGGGTACGCTGAACAACTGATGCGGCTGTTCCTGTCAAAGGGCCCCGGATGGACACAAACGCAAACGACCACTCGTTCGCGCAGGAGGTTGATGGACATCGGGGACACACCAGTGGTGGCGACGGGATAACTTACAGAAAAGAAGTTAGATGTTTGGACGCAACTGCAGCAGAGGCAACAAACGCAACAGTAACCGCAGCTGCCGGTTTTCTTAAGTGACAGCGCACCAGCGAAGTGGAGGGACAGAGAAGTACAGCGAAGAGTGAACATGACTGGCACAGGATTGTCCAGGTCTTGGTTGGTATTTTTTCTCTGCAACAGCGGCAACAGCGAGAAAATGGAGCTCTGCCATCCATCGACTTACAAAAAAAATATTCTGGGACGTTGACGACGATTTCGGGGGATGCGAGGCAGGGGGAGGGCATCTGTGTATAGACCCACGACGGTGGAGTGTTCGTATCGCTGCTCGCCTCTCTTTGTAGGTGAGTGAGTTCGTGTGTTTCGAAAATCGTACAATTTTTAACCGTGCAATAGCCGTGGCTATCGTGTATTCTCTCACGTGCTATCTGAATCAGATAATAAAAGCAATAACAGAAAGAGAAACAGGGAACCCAATGATGAGCGACGGTGTATATTTATATATATATATATATATATCCGTATGGCAAACAGTTATAGCACACACACACTCACGCACATACGCATAAAAACACACAGACACACACACACACACACGACGATGCCACAACGTATGTGCGTCATAGAAGTGAATAAGCTGAAATAACTTCTTTGGAAAATCTCATACTGTAATACAGGGCGCCACCATATCATAATGATCATGCAAGCGTAAAGTTCTCTGAACTTGTAGACAAAACGTAATTTTGTACATGTAAGGCTATAATTAGTATTTATATATTATAGAATATAGAAGCGCGTACTTGCTTGATATAAGCCTCGATGATTCTTCATCGTTGCTTTATCGGTTACACTCAGTTACAAAATACACCCATTGTATTTACAATCCAGACCTAAGGATTCTAAACTGAAATGACGTCCTAGTTTAGTAATAGCGATCCACATTGGCTTCATTGTACTATATTTAAGAAAACTTCATCCACAACGTCCTATCCATGGCTACTCGCTGCAGTCCTGTTCAAAGTGCCTAGGTAGTCCTTTGTGCCGATGTTACGAACATGCGTCAGTACGTATCGAACCGGCCTCTTTTTATATAATATTCACAATACTATATTCAAGAAAAGTCGTCCATCATGTTGCTGAACTTATGTCACGCATGTTAAATGAATTGACTTTGTATTGCTAATGCTAAAAAGACAAAATTGATACCAAATGATAATTACCATTTATATTAAATACGGAAAGATACGTTTCTTTATTTATTTACTCTTTCTTTGTTGTTGTTGTTGTTGTTGTTGTTGTTGTTGTTGTGTTGTTCTTCCGTTCTTTATATTTACTGCCATCATCATCATTATTATTGTCGTTGCTATCAGTTTCTTTCGGTTGCTTCTCCTACGTAATGATAATAATAATGATACTTTATAATGTAAAACCATTTCACCACTTGGTGCACCGGGGTGACATAGCTGATCCCCTCGAGATCCCCACTCACTCGCTGCTTCTTTTTCATTTTCTGTAATATTTTTTTTTCTCTTAGATTGATTTTTGTTTTTTCTGCGATCGAAACTTGAGAAATTTTAGACAATCATCATATAATCAATGACAAAAATTACGTCTGTCTCTTTCATGTCACTTCTGTTCTGTAATTTTCTCTTCATCTATTCAACGCTTGACAAGAAAAAACCCAGCAGGTATTTATAAACGGTAGATCGAACAACTTAAATTCATTTTGCATTTAATTTCATCGTTACCTCGAATTTCACCTAACCAGCAACTTGCAAACGCACGATTATGGCTATACTTATTAGTGTACAACTGAAGCACGTCTATATTTCCACTAATAACATAGTCTTATACATAGCTTATGTGGATTAGCAAACCATTACTACTCGCAAAAATGGGTCAATAGACTCAATCTACTAGTAGGTAAATTTTAATTACAAATTCGGCTAGTATAATACCCGCCAACGATGTTGTCTATACTACAAATACTGATTGCCTAGGTGATCTTTCGGTTTCATTTCTAACTTCAACTATGTTCGCCTATTGACTTTTAGTTGATTTCGTTGCTTGAGCGTAAGTGGATTCTCGTCTACTGGAGGGGACACGACGAGTTATTCGGTATCATCTTTTTTTCGATTTATTTTCTGGTGTAACAACTATAACACTGGGATTGGTATTATTAGTTGACTTTATTCACTTTTACGCTTTCGTTCTTCAAAATATATCCATTGTGTTCATTCGTACGACGTTATTATGATTATTATTATTATTGTTGTTGTTGTTGTTTGTTAACGTTATTTTTGCTGTCTGTGTGTGTGTGTGTACGTGTAAATGTGTCTTTGTGATTACAATTTGCTGCTGCTGTTGTTGTTTGTTGTTGTTGTTGTTGCTAGATTTTTGGTGACGTTCATACAATTGCTGCTCCACAGACACACACCCAGACACGCATTCGTCACGCTCTTACACATACACACACACACACACAAAAAGTCCACGTGTCGTCTGCAAGCAGAATACTACTACACGCCAACAACAAACAGACTCACATCTCTGTTTCGCTGCTTGTACATACAAAATATTTGCGGTTGCTATACCATTGCTTTGCTTTGTTCTGCTGTGCCGTGACTGTGTGAAGTACTTCATCCCTTTGTCGGACTGCCCTTAAATATAATACGACCCTAGTCAATCCTAAAAAGCCTCCTTCCGTATAGACGACAGGGTAACCAGAGCATTGCCACAAGGTTCTTGTCTTCTTCTACGATTTAAAGTAACAATAAAATTTATATATAGATATATATATATATATATATATATATAAAGTACTGGGGTGTGAAAAATGACGACCTACTTTTTCGCTCGCTCTCTCGCTCGCTCTCTCTCTCTCTCTCTCCCTCCCTCCCTCCCTCCCTCTCTCTCTCTCTCTCTCTCTCTCTCGCCTGTCCTCTTGCATTTAAGTACTCGTTCATCAATGTTATTAACTAGTTATTGTTATATATATCTTTATCGCTTTTGATTGATTTCTACTATAGGATTCGCCAAAGTTGCGAGCATTTTTCCGGGGAGGGATCATAGAACTCTACAACATACGTTTATTGTCTTTTAACATTATTATCGTCGCTTACATGCACTCATTCTCCTCTCATGCGCTCCGTCAATTAATTGCTTTTTCCATATAATTACATGATTAGGCTGCTGCCTGCGTGCACTAGACAGACAGGGGTGCAGGGACACGCGAGACCTCCGATGGGCACACTTACTCGCAACAGAAAAACACACATACCAATAAAGTAAAAGGTTCGATGCTATGCGTTATGTTTCCGTAGCAAGTTTTGAAATGAAAATAAAAAAAAATAGTGCACTGCCTTCGTTCTAGTTTCATTCAGCGAATGGCATTGCAAAACCCGAAATGCACACGGTAATAGACGCACATCTTGTTTCACTCATTGACCGATTGATTGATTGATTGATTGATTGATTGATCATAAGTCTTGGGAGATGCTGGCATGACTTAATGAAACATTGAAGAAATCGATAGGTGTTTTTCTTCGTCTTTACATGATATTACGAAGATCTGTAAAATCGTCTCAGCCTGGATAATACTGTACGCAAAATTAGGTCCACTGTATTTGCCGACCCTGTCGGATCGATTGACAGCAAAGTAGTATAAATAACGAAAAAAAAAAAATGCAAACTCTCGGAAACATCTTGGTCTATTTTGGCCTGACAACGTAGCATCAGCTACTCTGCTAGCTTCAATATCATATCATAATATAAGATACCGCCTTAGATTTACTCGCCGGCGATATCAGTTCTCCCCTGCCTTCATTATAGAACTCATCTTAGGTAAACAGTACAATAACAATGATAATACTATTATAAAAGCTTGACATTTCTTCGGTGTAGAGAAAAATTGCGTCTGTGCTAATTAGTGTCAACAGCAACAGCAGAAGCATTTTTTGGACGAAGTTGCTCCTTGATTGCTGATTCTACTGGGATCAGTTGAGGTGTCTGTCCTTTATTGGCTAGCTAGTTACTGATGTTCGCGGGAATAAAAAGTTGTCCCTCTCCAACGCGGGGGGACTGGGGAAAGGGGCAAATAATAAGATTATTACGTATTGCTTATTCGCGCTTGTTCCACCACCACCACCACTGTCAACTTCTTTGTCTAAATAGATCTTGATTGCATAGTTTATTGCACACGATTTTGTTATAAATTAATATTTCATCGATCATGCGGCTTGCTTCGATTTCGACAAAGAGGCAAGAAAATTATACGACGGAAAGTTAATTACGACAAAAATAATCGATTATTATTGCTTTGACAAGATAACTAAATAACCATCATCGTTTTATGTGTCGTCGTCATCGACAGTAGATCTATCGAAGTTAGTTTGCTATTCAGGAATAGGTAAATTAATCAAACAATCATGTTCGGTGAGCGAAAACCCATTTCCCACTTTCTATTTTTACTTGAAAATTCTCGATATATTCATTTACACGCGCTAATGGCAGTTGCAATTCAATGGTTCGTTGAATAAATTAACTGTAATAGATTAGGCGTGAAAGTGAATCATTCTAATTCTGCACAGCCTTCTCATCGGACCTCGTTCGAGTTGAATCGTTTGTCTGTTTGCCTCCCAATTTTGAAGCTGCTTTAGCGAACAAATTGGAAAATCTTCTTCTTTCGTTTTTTCTCCTCGTACAGAATAACCGTTTTCTAGACTGCAGATAATTTTGTCATATTTCATCCACGGCATCAAGCTCATGGAGCTTGTCTTGTTTATGAGACACTCAGCATCGCTGGTGGCTAAATAAAACTTGTAATCGTTGTTATTTTTGCATACGATTAGTTTGGCTTTGTTTTCTGTTGTTATCAAAAAAACCTTTTTCGAAAATCGACTGGCAGCCGTTATGACGACAGCAACAATGACAAAAACAGCTAGTGCCATAATAATCCCCTTAGAAATATTACCACATAAAAAATTGCGTTCTTTAAGGGAATTGGGAAAAATGCAAAAATTGAATAAAAATAAGCGAAAAAAGATCAAATAAGAATTGAAATCGCCAGCGTGCAGCGAAATGCCAAGTAATAAATCATCGCAGGATCAAACATACATACTGATATAGACAAGCAAGAGTAAAGGAAGGATAGAATTTTTTTGTTTTCTAAAAATTTGCAGGACACGGACGCTTCATCGGTCTGGAAAAGCGTCTTCCTTTCCTCCCTTGTACCCTCATGCTTAGGTACACAACGGACACGTATAGTTATTGACTCGCACGCACACTAGCACACACGCACGAGTACTAGTATTACTAGCAATAATGATACAACGAAATAAATCAACGATATTCGTACACATTCGCCAAGATTATCAATTGAAATCATAATAATAATATTTAAATTTATAATATGTATGTATATATATATATATATATTAATAATCCCGCTGGCAATAGTAATAATAATAACAACGGTGGTAGCAACAGCAACAACAACAACAACAACGACTTCATCATAACCATATGAAGATGCATAGCTGTCCTTGGACTGTGACTCGTGAAGTTTTCCATAGACGCGCTTCGAGCACGGCCAAAGTAGCAAATGCCGTTATTCTTCAAAGTTCAAATAAATTCAGTCAAATGTGACGATGAGATGCTAGCTACATTCACATGACTCTGTCGTCTAAATGCCGTCTTTTTGAGTGGTATCTTTATGAAGTACACCGCTCAGTTTCCTTTTGCTTTGACCCTCTGCCTTGCCCACCTAATCGCATCGCAGATAAGCAAAAGCGGCACGTCAAGTATACATATATATACATATACGTGTGCTAGTAAAGTATCAGATAAGTTGTCACCGGGATGTATTTCCATCCTTTCGAAGATTGTTTCCTCGAACAAAAACTAGATTTTCACTTCTAAGCCGTAATGTCTTTAATTGTTGTTGCTGCTGCGGTTATCGTTATCCCTATTACTATTACCTCCATTCTATGTATTTACGTTTGATGCAATGTGACTGAAGGGATACGAAGATCCCGCTGCATAGAAAATAAAACATGGTAAATCAAACAAGTTGAACAATGAGCTAGGCACGCTGCATAGATCCGAAATACTCTCCGTACAATCGTGGTCCATTTTGATCTCGTGCGTAGCTCAAGTTCCGCTCTTGTCAAGATCGTACCATAATAGAGACCTTTGGGACGCACTTGGGACATAACGCATCTCGAAGAGGATAATGAATATGCCCACTGCCATCATAATTAAAGTTATTATATCATGATGATAATACATCATAGCATTGTATATCGTGTATAAAATGTTGCGTCTTGTACTGTGTCAAGATAAATGCATAATAAAACACCGACCGTAGGCCCGCTACGCTCATTCTCCATCGTTAGCCCCTTTCTTCGTGTTTTTTCCCATATCAGAATCGGTTACTCCTCGATAGCGTTTCGGCATAAACAAAAATCGATTATGAAAAGAAAATGGGTTTTAAAGAGAATCGACGGATGATCCAGAATATTTCGAAAGTTAACGGCGGGCCGACATTTTTGAGCGTCCGGGGGCCTCCAACCGGTGGGGCGAAGCCTAATTGCGTTTCTTGCCGTTAGTTTGTCGGAGTTCTTGCTGTTGCTGTGGGTTGTTGTTTTTGTTGTTACTGCTGTTGTTGTTGTTGATGTTGTTGTTGATTGGTGTACCTGTTGCTGTTGTTGCAGTGAGAGTAATGGTGGTAGTAGCACAGTTAGTAACATTTAATCGCTTCGTTTCGTTACCTACATGCGGGGGCGGAACGAACCGTGACCGCGAAAGCCGGCAAGGTCAGAGGATACGGTCGCACTGCTTTTACACTTAGCAGTTATTATCAATTATTATTATTATTATTATAATTAGTTGATTGTGTGCGCGTGTGCCTCTCTCCGACTTCTAAAATTCGACTCGTTAAAGCTACGCGGCTGCCGAAGCTGTCACGGATAGTCCCGATACCCGCCATTTGGTTCTATTGTCCTGCATATGTGAGGCTATGCCATGGATTTCTCTTTCTGCGACTGCTGTTGCTTGTGGTTGATGCGACAGCAACTTAGGATCTCGGTCGTCCTGGCGACAAAAGAAACCTCAACGCCACTGCTATCTCGACGTCCACTCGGCTGTCCGGCCATTTCTTCTTTCGCTTCCCTGTTACCATAGACAACTTTGGTGTGGTTCATGTTCATTTACATTTGGGATTATTTATGTGTTTGGTTACCCCGACTGCAACCGCATAGCCGCCTTATTTTACTTCGAACGGACGCGAGAGCTTCATCTACGTACCTTACTACCGCTTTTGAGCATATGGACCAGTCGGTATGCATGTCATAAGCAGGACGTCGCCAGGACTACAAGTGACCCACGGACGTAAGCAAGCGAGAGTCGATACCGCACACGAAATCATGCTGTCATCGTACATTGTCTTTCGCATATTTGTCGAGCATACTTGCCCACTTTTTCGTTCCAATACCAACATCCATTTTGCTTGTCATACCTCATTTGATCCGAACATTTCGAGGCAGCCATCAACATACACATCTAAGTGTACAAGATCTTTGATCCAAGCCCCCGTAGCCAAGTAGCCTTACCTCTAGCCTAGCCGTGGGGGGTGGTGGTCAGGAATACTTGGTTGAGACCTGGAGCCGTCCTCTCCGACTTTTTAACATACTACAGTGCTCCATTACACATCAAAATAATCAGCATCATCAGCGTCGTAGTTCTGCTTCTTTTGTTCCGTTTTTGTTTCCATCGACCGCTTCACCCGTACGCCGTTCGTGCTTTGCATACATTTAATCTGCTACCTCTTTAGCCTCATCTTCGTCCTCGTAAATCCCAAACTGATGGAAAACGTCGCCGATGATTGATCCTACGGCTGCTAGCTACGTCGCGTGCGTATTTGATCGTGTCTTTGTTGAACTGCATCGGTCGTTTGTTGTCTGTGCGTCGGTCGCTCTGTCTAACTGCCGTGTATATTTATATACACCCTTACATATACCGCGTAACAGTTGTTGTTGATCAATTTGTTAATATAGTCGGTCTTATGCAAAATTCCCGATTAGTCAGGTTCCCTCCAAATGCTTTTGTTTCCATGTTCCTTTTTTCAGTTGTAGTTTGGTGTGGACTCATTTTCTGCTCCGGACGGTCAACAGGCGAACGACTGCAGGCAATTGGCCTATTAATTTTATATCTCCGACTAGTTGTTTTTGTTTCGGACGGTAGAACACGTCGACGACATGCTAACTGGGATCGCACATAATGAGACACGCCTTGATCATCTGTCCAGCTCCTACTTTTTTCCTTTATAAGGACACGGCAACGATGTTCTACAGTGGAAGCATATTCGAGGCCGCAGCTTGATTTGCCGCTAGCATCAGCAGTTGTCCCTCATCGAAGATTGTTTGCACTCCACCCGTGTTCGGTACGCCGTTCTCCGACTTGGGCGCATGCACCGTCCGCATATGCCGCGTCAACGTTGACTGTTGCTTCGTACGATAGCTGCACAACTCGCACGCGAACGGCTTCTCGCCTGTAAATATCGTAACAATAAGAAAAATACGATAAGAAAAAAATGGTACATACGAACCGTCCGCGACGAAAAAACCATCTAGTCATGATGATAAAGACCGTCCGTCGTCCAAATCACCACAGTCGTCATTGCCTATTATCGAGTACCGTCACCAAAGACGATAACAACAACAACACTGGCATCGCCAACAACGCCATGATCATCGTACGGATAACAGAAGTACTTGCGGGCCGTAGCACTTGCGTTTAGACCATCACAATCGGGATCGAAATTGCATAGTCGTTGTCGCATTGAGTCGCCAACGAACGAACAAACCTCGTCGCTACTGCTACTGCTACTGTAGTCGTCATCGAGTCGAGTTTAATTTAGCTGAGCGACCGAGCAGTGAGCGGAAACGCAGCGAGGAGAAGGCATGGCCAATGCTTGCAACAGAATCCAGCATTAAAAACAGTCTGATAGTGCTACCTCGGCTGGGGCGAACGCAATTGTATTGCCCACCAGTTACATAGCCACAGAGAGGTCCGCGTGCGCGACGGCAATACAGAGTCTACATAGTCATGGTATTCACCCATGATGGACCCACCATCGCCATCTTCATCAGCATCATTCTCATCACGCATCGACAGATGCGAATAGAACAATACAGCGCTGACGCCGCTGCGGCTACCGCCGCGGTCATCAACGACACTTGGCCACCGTGTGCCGCACGGAAGTCGCGCACAATCCATCCATCTCAACCACTACTCTCGCTGCGTCCAACAGCTTTAGCCCGATGGTCGGTGGATCGACGCGTCCATCGCTTGTACACTTGCTACGGCGGCAATAGCAGCTTCGTAGTGAACTCAATCTAACGATAAGAACTTTGTTTACAGGCAGCATTGGACGAAGAAGCAGGCGGTGCCCGCGGCCGCGGAAAACGATAGCTAAGCGATACAGAAGGATAATAATTAGAAACAACTTGGTCCATTCCTATCAGCAGCACTCACAAGACTGCTAAAGCCATAGGCCTTGCCACTGCTATTACTTCAGCGGTGGCCAATGGCCTCGTAATCGTCAGTTCATCAGTGACTTTGTCCGTCGCGTTTGGTTTCTGCCGTCATAGCAATAGTAACGCGATACAGCAGGGCAGCACTGAATGAAAACTAAGCGAGGATAGCTAGCCAGCAGCAGCAAAGGCACCTGGCGTGACGTTAGTGCTGGCAGTTATTTGCAGCGAGAGTCAGCGTGCGCTGCCATATTCGCTGACAGCACAGACCTAGGCATACGATATGGTGTGACGATGGAGGCACTCGCAGCGCAGAAGAAACTGGCTAGGTTGGACGCCGGGTAGGTGGGTCTGGGGAATACACTCAGGGCGACGGGGAGAAGGAGTACAGCAACGAAACAACGGCCAGAGCGTAGGCCGAAGGATCAGTTGTAAAAATGGAAGAAGATAAAAAAGCAAAGAGACAACAGCAATAGCTCGCGATCGGAAGTAACTGAAGTGTAGCAGACGCAGCGGCAAATTCAGCAGAACCTACATAGCAACTGTGTTGTTGATCATGGTGTAGGGGAGGGAGCGATGTGGGTATCCAGTGTAGAGATACATTTCTTCTTACCGTACCCTGCCCAACGAGTGCTTTTCTGTGGTGCTTCTGCATTCGGTGCGGCTTGCCCCGTTTTCCTGCTGCTGCTGTTGCCGCCGTCGCCTCCAGTAAAATACTCAACGACATCGAGCGGTGGCAGTTGCTGTTTTGGATCTGGTGATGCTCTAGAAGCCCCGCGACGGCAGCAGCGACGGTGACGATGACAACGATGGCGTGCTGCAACAGCGGTAACGACCTGCGCTCGTTCGTTCGTGTTCAGCGGCCGGTCTTTCGATCGGTCGCTCGCTTTGTCCATCTGTCGTCGTTGTCATCGGTCGGGAGTCGGGAAGTTGTGCCACCGCCGCCGATGCTGTTGCTCGCACTGAGTGCATCTGTGCGCAGCCAACCGCATCGCGTTTCGTACGGCTGGGCACAGCGCAGCGCAGAACACCGTCGACTCAGTTCAGTTCGACGACGACAATGACAACAGTAGCAACAAGAGCGAGTGGATGGAGCTCCACCAGTCAAAGCCAGATAGATGCATCCATGCAAGAAGCTACCCTACGGTGCTGCCACCACCACCACCGTCGTCGTCGTCGCCGCCGCCGCCGCCGCCGCCGCCGCCGCGACAATCATCACCATCAACGGCGGTGCTGTCAGATACAGAGCAGCACAAGCAGCAGCATCAGCACGAAATACATATGGAAGGCAACAGCACCAAGAGGCGGGTAGGCACCCGAGATCCATCAACGGCGACAACAGGGGGTGGGGGAGCCCCATGGAATGTTCAGTGCGAGTTTAGTCGCCGGCGGCGCCGACAGAAAACAGCCGCAGAATAGTGGTCATAGTCTCGTAATATGGTGATGTATATATTCACGCCTGCCAGCCAGCCAACCAGGCGTCCAGGTAGAGTGGTTGTGTAGTAATAGTATGATGCTGCGTGGTTGATTCTAAGCAGTAGTCGCCGTTGTCGTAGGGGTCACTCACACTTGACTCACAGTGTGTCCATCCGTCTCCCTGTCCGTCTATCCCCGCGTCCGTTGTTCCCCCAACGATGCATTTGTCCATCCTCCGTCAGCAATGTCTATCCGTCCGTTCTAGGGATATCGTTGATGTGAGAAGCATAGCCGAGTAACGACTGAGCCGGAGAGTAGCCAAGATGAGCGGCGAGTGAGCGATCGAGTGCATAAGTGAGTAGCAGCAATAGTGGTGGTGGATGAGAATACACGACCGAAAGACCAGCTTCGACCACTGCATGACTGACTCACAATCTAACTAACTGACTCCTATGCGTGAAGTTCGCTGCTCGCATAAAGCCGAAGAGAAACGTACATACGCAGTCGAAAGAGATAGATGTAACAGATAGCTTTTTGTGTGTATGAGTTTGTGTGTGTGAGTGCAGAGCGAAAAGCAATAATGCGCCACTATACTACGCTAGATGAATACAGAAGTATAGCACGACGCGATGATACCCATGCTATCGCCACCGCTGGCCTTTTGATGCCTTTATTAGGTGCTGTAGCGCTTTTGTGGCTTCTGTTATCGCTACTGTCGTTTGTAGTTCTGGACGCAATAGCGCTGTCGGTGCCGACAAATCACCACGTCATCATCTTGATCATCAAGGGCCCTTTTTCCTTCTGACGCACGTAATACGAACGCGACTGTTCCGGCCCCACAGAACTGTATTACGACTTTTTATCTCACAGCAATATGAAGTACATTTCCGTACGATGACACAGAGTAGCTAAACCGGCGTGTTTGGCTACGTGTTCAAAAACTAAAGAAGTCGATTTGTCTACTTATTATGGAATGTAAGATCAGCAGAATAGATACAAGTGGACGAAAGAATAGAAATACGTGAAATCACGCTAAGGCCCATTGTAATAATCCAGCAGGTTTTCTGTTCAATAATGAGTCTGTACGCACACAATGCATTAGGCACACGTGCGTCTAACGAGCGCGATGGTTCCCTGGCCTGGCCCGTACCATAATAGTGCCAATAGACCTAACTTTGACTCCTCTAGCCTAGAACTTTGTCTTTCCAATAATCAGTTCTGTTTGGCGCTTCGTCCACGTATCGACTATCTGGCCTGCACTGTAACTTAAAAGTTGCATTTCCGTTGAGCTGAGTAGAGAATGAATTGGGCTCGTAATCATCATGCTGCCTGCTGCAGTAGAGTATCATGCAGACATTATTTGTTCACAACTCCTGACTCTACCCTCGTTTGCCTCACAACCCCCCCTATCCCTTCGCGGCACACGATTCACAAATGTTGCGTCGCGTTGGCCGGGCCACTGTAGCAACAGTGTTGTTCACAAATACCCGACATGACACCGATAGACGAATAGATAGATAGATTGCAAACGGGCCATCATGGCGATGGAACCGCTCGAAGTGGCAACCGCCTCATCTATCGCCTGACGAAGATGATCATAATTGCCGTTAAGAGCAACAAGCGCAACCGCAAAGGGCAGAATCACTATGGTTGACCTTCTGCGTTCAAGTGGTGAAATTGCGGCTGCCGATGCAACTCAACTCGTGAATCCTGCTACGGTGAAGCAACAGTACTATGATCGGCGGTAGAGACACGCCGGATGAGGACAGATATTGTGGTGGTAAACACGGACGCGGAGAGGTGCTTCCATTGTAGCAGACTAGTTTGTATGTAAACAACAACGACAGCAGTGTTTAGACTCGGAGATTAGCGGCCGCTAACTTTCCGTCACTTCACTGAGTCCCACAGATTCTTCGTACAGACGACAAGATGACAGACAGCAGCAGCAACAACATGGTAACTGGCAAGACGTGCAAATACCTTTATTACCTCTGTTTCGAATTTTTGCGTCCGGTACCGCCGTTAGGCACAGTTCGATCAGACGTCTGGCTGCCTCCCTGCACGGAACGAACCGTGTTCGAACCTAAAGTATAACGTCTCCCAAAGATTAGCAGGCAAACACGTCATCTACATAGCTATCACGGAGACCTCAACTACGAGAAGTACCGCCCTGCCTATCTGCCTGTCTACTAGAGTTGTACTACAATATATACTAACCGTTGCTTGTATATTAATGTATTTTTAGTGTAGATAGAAATACATGTACAACTATATTGATGCGCACGAGTTGGCGCGATTTGATGGTTATCTAAGTGGAGTTTGGGCGAAGGCACGACCTGGACACCCGCAAATGTTTCACAAAGGATCCGAAGCAAAAAGGCAAACAAATGAGCCACTATCAAATGGTAGCAAAGGAAAAAAGACGAAAAGCCGGTCGACAGTGTGTCTTTGACACTACAGCATACTCTACCCTTTCAACTAGTTCACAACTATAGTTTGCGTGCGCTGTTTGAGAAGCGCTACCAAGCAGAAAATATTGGCTTTGCTTCTAATTATAAATATCTCTAGCAAAGATCGATGCACTTCATGAAAACAACTT